TGATGGTAAAAACAAGCGTGTTCTGATTCTGACAGCTCCCTCAGGAGATGAAACACTATCAACCCCAGCTCGGAAGGAAAAATAAGAAAATGAATCATTACGGTTTATTCGGGGTGCTCAGTAAATGAGGTTTTGAACCTCTCTGGAAAGAGGCAACACGCCAAGCCTTCTCCTTCCCAGCAGCGCTCACAGCACTTTCTGTTCAGCTCCAATGCCCAAAGCTCAGCAGACAGACCCTACAACACCTGGAAGCACAGAAGGGAAGTGCTTTGGAAAAAGCATGGTCAAGGAGACTTAAGCAGCATCACAGGGCTCCCAGGAAGAAGCCATAAAAAGACACTTTAGAAATAACTTTGCCTCTACATACAGTTAATGTCAATCCAGTCCAAACCCAGACGAGATCAAGTCCTGCACAAAACACTGTGTGACTGCTTTAAGCCTAGAAATACATGCAAGGAGTGCCATCGAAGCTCACTTTTGGCACTCCCTGACTTCTGAGTGTTCACACTGAGACTGAGTATTCCCCCGTTTAGATCACTGATGACAAAAAATAACATTTAACACAGGTGTTAATTTTTCCCCTAAGAAGGGTTAACTCCTACTAAGCAGCGTGCAATAAAGACAGAACATTTCACCAATAAAACTGAAGTCATTTCTACTCCACACAATAAGCTCAGGAAGCAAAATAAAAATCTATCTGCATAGCATGAGGTCAGTCAAGCTACGGATGGTTATTTAAAATCTAAATATTAAGAACAGATGCTTCTTTTTGGAGGTGTTTAAAGAACCTGGAACCTGCTGGTGCTCAGCGTTTCTCAAGGAATGCTGCAGACCTTCAAACCCATCTCAGCTGGGGCAGGAGGACTGTGCTCCGGACAAGATGAACGTTCTTTCACATTCAGTCTTCAATCTTTTCTTATTTACAAGCTAATCCTAACAATGAGGTAATATATCCACAGCCCCATTGATTTTAGCCTCATAACTCATACATATTCTATACACAATACTAATTAGTTTGTATTATAGCAAAATGTACCTAATAAACAGAAATGTGAAACTATGTCATATTTCAGGGCTCCTTTTTGATGCTGGCTATACAATAGCCATGTAAAAGAATCTTTAGGAGAAGCACATTACTGTCTGCATACCAACCAGGCTGCACCAGAAGGGACGGACTTGAACACCATCCTGGAGACGTGCACTGAGTCCCAGCTGCACAAGGTATTTCAGCTGCTTCCTGTGACTGCACAAGAACACTTCTCTGTGTACACAAAGCAGCCTGTGGGTGTGCTGGCTGCAGTGTGCCCAGCTCACCAACTCCACGTGCCAGAAAGTCACTGGGATTCCTGGGCTGGCACTGAGGGAAGGGCCAAGCTGAGCCCCTGTTCTAGCCAGCACACCACAGGTGAGCTGCAAACTATCAAAGAGACAACGTGTGCTTGAATGTGGGGTTGATTTTTGCAATTTGGCTGACGAGAAAGTAAATATGTTACATAACCACGTTGTAAAACATCACTCTGACAGATAGTTTACTCAAAAAAGAGCTATCTTCACTGCATATTTGCTCTGCATCCAGCAACCCCTTGACCAGTAAAAGGACCAACGATGGCCTTTCCTTTGTAGCTCATCATTTATGAACGTATTTATGTTCTGATGAATTTTCAGTGGGCAGGAAGCAGAAGGATCCATCCTCAATGGCCTGCACCAAATGGGAAGAAGCACGGTAATAATGTTGAGCACTATGAATTTTGCAGGCTCCGTCGCTGAGAGCAGTTATGTCCTCATGTGAGCGTGCCACAGCGAAAGGCAACATCTCTATAAGGGTAAAACAAACAGCACTCAGAATTTCTGAAAGCATTCTTCCCGAATTATTGCACTAGATTAGATTGCCTCATCAGCAGGGCCAGAGGACATTTGCACTATTTTCCTGCTTTTTTTTTTTTTTCATGTAACAGATGAAAAGAATACAGAAAGTTTTCTGGGGCCAACATTGGAATTAACAATGGGAAAATTCTTTTGCTAATCCCCCCCATCTCTCCCGTTGCTTCCAGGCTCCCAAGGCTGGAAAAACACAATGTCGCCCCGTACCCTGCTTCTCATTGGTGCACCACGCTGTGCTCAGGACGTCGGGATGGACCCACAGCTCAGCTCAGGGCCATAAAACCTCCAGGATGGAGCTCTGGGGAAAATCTGAGTACAGAAGGACATTAGTCTCTAATTAAAACCTGGAAGCCCCTGGTGGGCCTGAGGAGGCCCAGCTCTTCCCAGAGCCCATGGTGCAGAGCAGCCACCCCCATGCCTCTCCTTCAGTGTGGCACAGCCCTGTGCCACGCTTGCCAGCCCACAAGCGAGGGGAAAGCAGACAGCACCGGGCACCCGCCCCCCTCGCAGAGGCATTTCATCATTTTGCAGTCATTTAACAAACACAAAAGAATTTACACGTAGCGACTCGACTCGAGAAGTAAACTTTGCATAATGAATCCGGGCGCCTCCAATGCTGGCTGTGCTCAGAGCATCCGCAGCTGTACAGCAACACCCACTGGCACACGGGGGAAGTGCCCGACGATGGGAGGTCACAGATGGCAGCGGAACAAGGAAGGAAAAGAGCGGCTGCCTGGGAAATAAATGCACTAACCCAGCTCTCTGAATGGTTGCACTAACTGCAAGGCATCGACAGCTACTTCTGAAGCCAGCCGTGCTGTACCAGAAGCTCGAGCTCCGAAGGCAGAGCAAGGCACCGAGCGCTTGCAGGAGGTGGCAATGGCCAAAGCAGGTGAGAGCTGTCAGGCTGCTGCTGGGAAACTTGACTCGAATTAAAAGAAGTACTGATGCAGTGCTTAATGAAGATGAACTTCCACTGCCTTCCCCCAGACAGACGATGCCATTATCACTCACCACTAAGAAGGAAAGAGACTGAGCAAGGGGAAATTACAGGGCAGTTACGCTTGTCAGCCTGACAGTGTAATAGCAACACGATGTTGGCAACGCGCCGCAGAGAAGCCTGCAGACAATTGAGCACAGGGCATAAAATAAGGTGGGTAGAGGGAAAGTAGCCCACTGGAAAGTACTGCGAGGGATTTCAGCTTTTCCAGCATGAAGCACACCACCATATCCCCTGCATCCACACAGAAGGGAAAAATAAGATGAATAATAACTGTGTGAAGACAGAGAAAACCTGGAAGTCCAACTTGCTCGCTAGCAGAGAAGTCAAAGCTCAGCAGTGCGGTGCCTCCCTCTGCACAAGTGGGACCGCTGCCTTCTCCTGTGCTGCTGACATACAGACAGTGCCTGCGAGGCCAGCAGGTCTCATCCTTTTCATCTCAGGGCAGTGAGAAGCACAGGCAGCTCTGCTGTGCCCCCAGCAGCCTTCAGCCACAGCAATCCTCGCTTGGGAAAGCTCCTCTTTTGAGAAAAAGTTGCCTGTTGCTCACAAAGAGCTCCTAGGGAAACATTACGAGTTTTGCTCCAGGCTTTGTAAATATCTGCAAGAGAAGAACGTCAAACAAAACTGGCATTATTTGCACTATTTGTAAGAAGGAGGGCCAAACACATTCCCAGTTTCAGAGATGTTTGAAGGCTTTGTTGCTACAAAAAGCTCAGTATGGTCACGCAGTGCTGCAACAGCACAACACACAAAACCTGCAGTCCCAGAAACATAAGGATTTGGGGAACCTCTGGCCCCCAAGAGAGGGAAATGGAACACAGATTCTATATTTTCCTGATGAGAAACCAGGGTTTCACAGAGAATTAGTAAACACACTCATGAGTCCCACCTGTTTTCTATTTAGAGGAAAAAAAAGCAATTAATGTGACTTTTTAAACAACTGTTAATAGAAGAAACTCATGAAACCGAGATTTCTAATTGAAAGTGTCTTTACTCAGATGATGCAGAGGATCACAACACGACAGCAGCACCTCACACAGTTTCTCCCAGCTGTTCAAACCATTTCCTAACGACCTGAAGATGAACAAGGACACATTCTAGTCGTTCCTCATCCCTCCAGAGCACGGATGCACGGCAAGCACGAGAAGGACATCCCATCTCCCACCAGTCAGAACAGAGCTCCCAAGCAGCATTTATGCTGTGCAGTTCCTAGAATGGAACCCCTCACTCTGAGCAGCATGCAGAGGCATAAAGGGAAAAATACCAGCCCAGGAAGAAGTTGATTTCAGCATATCATTTATTAGCAAGTAAAAGGACGTTTACCTTCTCAGTGGTTAAGTACAACACAACCCAAAGATAAACCATATGGCTCAAGTCTTTGTGCAAGGGAGACAACTGGCAGGGCTCCAAGGCTCTAATTGAACTATTACCATATTGTAAGAAAGGAAGAAGTCAGAAAGACTGGAGGATCTGCTCTCCTAGGGACAGCTGATGTCAGGCAGGCAATTCAGGCCGTAACAAAGCATATTTATCAGGAGAGCAATTCCACCATTTGGATACTGGCTCAGTTTAAAGAAAAAAAAGTGCTCTTCTATTTCAATATTGCACTTAATTTGATCCTACATTCAACTCATGAAACCTTCAAAATCCCAATCGTTTGTAGCAAACAATACGCTTCTAGTTTAATTGCTGGCTCAAGGTTTTCCATTTAGTTAATAACTAAAGAAGCAAAGGAGGAATGTCCAAATGAAATCCAGCAACAAATAAAAGATTACCATTAAAAAAAGGGTCATTAGAACAGAACCGCTGAAAAGTGCAGAAGATCCAAGTACAAAATGGTTTTGTACTACATACAATTTCCCATCTTTTCTTTCAAAGGCAGCCTTCATAAAAGCATCCCAAGTGTTACACATTTCACACACACCCGGGTTATGCAGTAAGACAAAACACAACAGTGAGCTCTTGAGCAGACAGAACCTGTCAGAGCCGCTGTACAAACCTCTGCAGTGCTGGCTGGTTGATTGTGGGGGAAAAGGAACATATGAAGACTAAAGGAAATCAGACACAATCTTACACAAAAATGAGTGAGATGGGCCCCTGTGGATCTTGCTCTTACCGTTCTGCTCGTCCAGCTCATTCCCAATTTCCTGTCCCATTTGCTTTTGCCGGGATATGATTGAAGAAAGAGCATCAAGGCCGGCGTCTTGCTCTGCACCAAAAAATACATCAAGTTACGTGAGGCAAATTGCCAGTGTGCCACACTGTGTGCAGTAAGAGATGCAGAAGCAAAGAGAAAGATCTAATCTGTGCCTGAAGAGTTAAAACAAACTCAGAAAAGGACATCAACACAACAGGAAAATGAATCCTTATGGCAACAGTACTCCTAAAACAATGTGAATGATGGGTAATTAATTTGTCTGCTCTGGCTGGGACATGAGCTGATGGTCCCAAAAAAACCCAAGAATTCAACCTCCAGCTGTTCCTCAATCATAAATGCAGGAGATTCCTGGCGCACACACAGATCCCTGATTAGCCTTTTTACATTTTCCAAGAAACTTTGAACATGAATACAAGGCAAACAGGTGATGCAAGCACCAAAGAATTCAAATAGATTTTTAAAGCTGCAAGAGGACACGGAGCGCATGGAAGGCAGCCTGCAAGGAGGGACACCAGCTCTGCAGGCACTCCTCTAGAAAGGCACATGTTGTCTCTGCTACATGCAGGCCCTGCACACCCTCAGCAAGCACCAAACACACACAGCTCTTCTACTTTGTGACACACTCAGCTTCAATAAAACGTGGGCAAAAGGCAATCCCTGAATTACTTGCATCTGACCGTGAGGAAGCCCCGCAAGGTTACCTGGTCACAAATAAGGTATGCTAACTGTTTCAGTGGTTTCTCCTCCCCTGCCACGGGAAAAATTACTTGTTTCAATCAGCGTGGAGATTATTTGGAAAAGCTGCCTTGAGAAGATGTTCCCAGCAAGGAATACTGCAAGCACAACTCTGCTCCTGCTCAGACAGAAGTCATCGCCAGCTACTTGGACTGACAGCCCCAGCTAACAGGGCTTCAGCACAGGTTATTGCACTGACTTTCCCATGAGGACTCATGCCTATAGCACACTGACAGACTCTTCTACCTTCTATGATCCTCCGCTGCTGCTGCCTGATGTCATCGAAGCCAAGCCCCCTGGTTTCCTCAGACTCCTCCAGGAGCCACGGGTTGGTCACTCCTCGTTTGACACCTCCTGCCATTAGGCTAGATCTGAAAATAAGTTCAGGAAACAAGTTTCAAGTTTTAGACATAAAATTCATTCTAATTTGTGCATGCAAGGTTGGCTGGCAGAGATGGACCTGTCTTTATTTGTCACGTTCCACACAGTTCTCTGCAAACGCTGAAGAAATGAGCCAGAAAGATTCCAATTTTCCCCAGTAACATTTTGCAAGGTCCATCCCACTGCCTAAAAGCAGAGAAGTGGGGAGAAGATTACCTCACATTGAACAATTAAGCTACACATGAAACAAACACTTTTGATGCTATATTGAGCATTCAGACCTGTTACAAAGAAAAAGAAAGGTTTGTGTAAATACATACACATGGCATTGTTCTGTGATCAAGACACAAAACACACAGCCCCACTCCTGCATGCCTTGTTTGTGGCAGCAGCCACACACGCATTTTGCAAGAAAGAGCCATCAAGTCACAGGTTTCCTCTGACAGGAATTATGACCTGAGGCTGCTCACACAGCAGACACTGCACAGTTTACAACAGGCAGCAAGTTTGCAATGTCCAGGGAACATAAATTCCAGTTATAAAGTGAAATGCCACTGCAATATCTTCTCTCAATACCAGATTTCTGGTTTCCTCCTTTCAGCTCTTCATTGGTTTCTGGTATAAGCATGACCTGACAGCCTGCAGGACGTTCAGGCCCCAAGCTGCAAATCTGCCCTGGGGTCGGAGACACTGAGGAGATGGGTCTTCAGCTGCAGCTCGGCTGCAGGAGTTTCTCATTTCCACTTGCCTTTTTCAACTCTATCTTTTATCCCCATTTTATCTTTACCCTCTTTTTCCCCAAACAACTTTCACAAACAAATAAGAACCAGGAGCATTTTTGGTACCTCTCAAAAACCCCCTACAGTGTTTTATGAAGCCAAGATCTATTTTTTATTTTTTAATTGACTCCAGGTCCCTCCACTCCAACATAACCTGAAATGCTCTTCAGCACTAACATAAGCCCCATATTTCGGGTGATGATGCAATAGAATCAATGCAAGCAGTTCTCCAACAAGGACAACGGAGGATTTAGAGCAAAGGTACTGAAGCAAAGGGCTGAACTTGAGATTGGTGAGGAGCTGCGGTGTGCTGGAGACATCTCCTGGCCATGCAATGAACCAGCAGTGCTGGGAAGGATTCCTCTCCACCACATGAACTTCGGGCTGCCCTGAATCAGACGCATCTTGCACAGAGCACTGCACGTTCTATGAAGCAGATGGGGCAGTTCTACAGTTCAGCTCTTTGCACCTCCATGAAAATCTCCGTGTATTCATCAAGCTGGTGGATCTGCTTTAATTAAATAAAGCCCTGCAATGCTGTTTTACACATTAACAAGACTTCTTCATTGCTTGGGAGGTTGAGACCCCCTCTTGTATTCCCCAGGCTCACACCAAGCTCACAGTGTACCAGGAGCACGATGCACCTGAAGACAAAGATCATTACAGCAGCTCAATTAGCAAGCACTCAAAACCCAGTGCTTAACAACACCTGACCAAACTACTCGTATAAAGCAAAAGGAACATAAAGCTCCTTGCTTGCCAGGAAGAACACCACTATTTCTGCCTGCTAAAAAAGCCAAGGCAAGCAAATGTAACATAATTTGCACTGTTCCCCCTCTGCCCTGATAATCTGCCCTATTCTTGTAGGCTGGGTCATGACAACAGGTCCCCTCGTTACAATAATCTTTTTGACATGTTTGGTAACTGCCTTCCCACACAGCACAGCCCGACTTCCTCCTTCCTCTGATCTTACCACGTTTCGCTTTGGCGGTGTGAAGATTAAAGCTTATCCAATTAGCCACCCACGGCCTCCGCCAAGTTAATCACGTAAATCTTTCAAACCATCACAGAGCAGTGGAGTGTGCGGATAGCTTTTGATTATGGGAGCAGATTTAACTAATTACGAGGCTTAGCGATGTGCCCAAGTATAAAAGATGATGGGGTTTAAAATCGGGGAGCTATGTCCTTGCCTAACAAGGGAGGGCTTATCTTTCTGAAGGCATTGTTTCCCTGATAATTCTCATAAAACTTCCCCAGTAACTTAGATTAGTCACCCAACGCTTACTTGAGACCAAGGCCACACATCAAGGCTTACGGCTTTAGGAGAGCGATCAGCAAGACTGCGTTTGGAACAAAACCTGGGTCATATGACAATTAGTTGCATGAGCACTCGAACGTCCCCTTAACGATACGGTTGTACAGTAGGTCCTTTGAAGTGCTCACAGCACCTCAGCTTAGCTCCACAGGTCAACCTCTGTGGCGATGGCCAAAACCAGGGCATTCTCTCACTTACGGTTTAATTGCTCACAGAGGTGGGCGGTGGATGTGGGGAAGCTCTGTGCTAGTAAATGAAACAGGAATTGTTTTAACATATAAAAGCTGTCTCTTGCCCCAAAATGGGAGAAATATGAGAGATGTAACATTTGAGTATCCACAGCCCACCTGCACTCCTCAGGAAAGAGAATTATCACTGTAATTGGTCAGGACTCAGCTCATGCCCAAAATCCCACAGTAACGATGCTGGCATAGAACAACCTTGGGCAGGAAACTTCAGGTTGTCTGAGCAAACCTACGAGGCTAAACATAAAGCAGGCAGCTCAGCTTCAGTCACTGACCTCCTTTTGACACTCTTCTCCCCAGGATAACAAACATTAAGCACTAATAAGAGGCATGCAGGCACAACCCGAGGCATGTGTATAAAGCTGTGGGCTTTGACTTACTTTACTGCTGTTTGCTGTTCCTAACAGATCCAAATGCATACACCTTCCCCAGAACCACGGCCCTGACCTCAGTGAGCTCATTAGAAAATGCTCTCCAAGAAGGAAGATGCGACCTGCCCTTCAGCACAGAGCCCTACAGTTGGTGCTAGGACACAAGCATGGGGCTCTCGGTGGACAACTTCCTTTTTCCATCTCTTCGAGAAGCCTGATTCATAGATCTCTGCACACTAAGACTCGTCACTTCTGAAGGCAGAAGACCGCAGCTGCAGCAAACAATAACTCCAACAGCAGGAAGGAGTTCTAACGGCATCTGAACAACATATTTTTAATCCTAATTTCCCAAAGGGCATTTACTCCTCCATAAACAATAGCAAGATTCACAAAAACAATTAAATACCTGATGGATCATTAACTAAAGTCAGGCAGGCATCTGATGCCTACTTGCCATTAGGTAAAATCCCAGTTAGGATTAAGACTTCACAGAATTCTGGAACTGTAGGGGTTGGAAAGGGCCTCAGGAGACCTCACAGTGCAGCCCCATGGAAGCAGGTTCTCTACTGCAAGTTGCACAGAAAGGCATGAGCAAACAGCCTGCTGTGCTGTGAGCACACGGTACAGAAAGGAACCCAGACAAAGACAGTGCCACCAGTTGGTATTGCATGAGAGCAAGATTAGGACAATAAGGTTTCTCTAAGCATCAGAAAACATAAATATTTCATGAAAAATGGATTATTGAGAATATGGTAAATATGTCATCTTTTTATTTTCCCAGCTCTATCGCCGCCACAAAGGGCAGTCGGTGAACGATGAGGGGTGATAACGATGCAGGCCCAGCCCGGTGCCCAAAGGCACGCAGCCCTGCGCTGTGAGCTCACCGGCCAAGGCGCTGTGACAGCAGCGGAGATGGCTGTGAGCTCACGGAGCCGCCCTGCAGAATCCGGGGCGCGGCAGAGCCCGGCATCACTCGTGCCCGGACTCCGGTCGAGCGCGGCAGCGAGACTCGGAGGCGCGAACGAGAGACTCGGTTTGGGCCGTGCTGCGGGGCTGCCGGCGGCAGCTCCCGGCGCTCAGCCCGCGGCATCGCCAGCGTTCCCCCGGCCCTGCCCGGCTCGGGCGGCCGGGGCCCCGCGGGGTGCGCTCGCGGCAGCGGAGGTGAGCGGTGCGGGGACGCGGCCCCGGGGCGGGCGGCGGGGAGCGGGGCCGGGGCTTCGTGCGGACGGAGCGGGGCGTCGCCCGGGGACGGCGAGTGACCGCGGCCTCTTCTCTTTCGCAGCTCTGACGGCTCCGGCCCGCCGCGGCGCCGCCGAGCGGAGCGGCTTTCCCGGCTCGGCTCTCCCCGGCCCACCGCACGCCCGGGGCCATGGAGCTGCCCTCGGACTGGACCTGCCCCGTCTGTGGGCGGAACCGGGCCGAGGCGGCCTACGTGACGCCCTGCCGGCACCAGCTCTGCTTGGGCTGTGCGCTGCGCTGGGCGAAGCAGCATCGCACCTGCGCCGTGTGCAAGGAGAACATCGAGGCCGTCCGGTACGCGGTGCAGGCGGAGGAGGATTTCCTCGCGTGCCCCATCCCGCAGCCTGCAGGGCGCTCCGAGGACGAGCAGGAGGACGAGCAGGAGGAGGAGCAGGGCTCTGCAGAGCCGCAGCTCGAGGCTCCCGAGCACAGCTTCCCAGCCGAGACCTGGGCGGACTTCTTCCGAGGAGATCCGGGGGACCTCGAGCCGCTGCTCCAGTGGCTCCAGCAGGAGCTCGAGGACATCACCGGAGATGAGTGGTGGACAGTGGCTGCGGCGGGGACTGATATCATGTACCTCCTGTGCGTGTACGGGCTCGACGAGGACGCCCTGATCCTGAACTTGGAGTCGTACCTGGAAGACCTCACAGAGGAGTTCGTGGTACTGCTCATCGACACCGTTACGGCCCTGTACGGCCCAGAGCTCCGCCGGCAGCAGGACAACCAGGCTGCCCGTGAAACAGGAGGGCAGGACGGCCCCGCGGCCACCCCCAGCCCCGCCACCTCCCCGCAGGAGCCTCCTGCCCCCAGCCCGAGCCGCTCCAGCAGCCCTGCAAGCCCCGGCGCCGAGCGGCTCCCCGGCGTCCCTCACGGGGGGCCCGAGCCCCGACCCGCCGCCCCCGTGTCCCCGCAGGAGCCGCAGGAGCAGCCGGGGCAGGCGGCGGCAGCGGGCCCCTCCGCCCAGGGCACGGACCAGCAGCCTGGGGGGCCCCGACGCCCCCCGAGGAGGAGGGCCAGCAGCTGCCCCCCGGATTTGCCCCCGTCCCCCAAGAGGCGGCGCTAGGCCGGCACCCACTGCGGTGCTGAGCACGGCTCGCGGCTTGGGAGGCCATCAGAGATCTTGGTATAATTTTAGAGACAATTAAACAACCAAAAATTATTCTTATTACTGTTCTCAGTACCATACATTTGTCAGAAAGGGATTTTAATAAAAAAAGTACTAACAGACATTGCAAAAAAGAACCCAGGCCCTTCTGAACGTTCCCTACGTGGCAATCACACCTGGTGCTTCATGTCTCACAGCTATCTCAAGTTTTCTGGATAACTCAGCACAAGGTGCACACAGTGCATTGATGCAGGGTGAGCTGCACCCACTCCTACACGCTGACTACTGGGGGAGACGGGAGGAACAACACAGCAGTTTCTGCTTCATTTAAGTCTCCCTTTTAACATCCTGCACAGATGTCTTTCCTAGGCAAACGGAGGGGAGAAGATACTGGAATTGCCAATTATAGAACATTTAAGTAACCCTAAACAGGCGGAGTCACGTAAACAGCATAATCTTTCCCCTGGAAAATTCCAGTTGCATCTTAATTAAGGCCGACAACGCCGGAAGGTAAACTAATGTTATACCAAAGTAATGTAGTGTCCTGCCCTGTGTTCCGGCCCAAGTTGTCAGTTAGGATAAATACCAAGAGCATTAAGGCCACTGTACTTCACAATCAGAAATAGCTTTACAGCAGTTTTCAAAGGATGTAAAACTCAGTGAATGGTGACCAAATATAAACGAAGATTAATTCTAGCGAAACCTTCACAATTACAGGCCGTGGGGACAATAAATATGTGATCAGTGGTGCAAGAAGGTTAATGAAAGGAATGACTGCTGGAAAGAAAAAGACTTCTGAAAATGTGTGCTGTCACATCAGAGGTGGATTAGATACAGAAAACCAATACAAAAGCAGAGAAAAGTGTCACTGCTAGAAATTAATCAAACAACGTGTGCTGATTTTTCTAATGCGGCGGGTAAAGCTGACTTTGAGACTCCAGACACACTGAAGAGTGGCCTTTCCAACCTACTAAACCCACAGCAGGTTGCTCCACAAGTCTAACAGCTTCAGAGCAACTCAGTGCTATAAACAGCAGCTTAACCCCACCAGGCAGCGCTGTCTTCTGGCCAACAGCAGGTTGGTGAGGAAGGCACCCACCTCCTCTGCACACCCTGCATGCAGCCAGTTCCAAGTAAGGAAGGTTGAAGCAGGCAGTGGCTGCACCTCTGTGCCTTGGAGAGCAAGAGCTGCAAGGGAGAGCATGGAAGGGGTGTGAGTTCACCAGCCAGCGAGGAGTTGGCAGGGTTTTGTCCCTTTTTCATTAAAGAGAACTATTAAACTTTAAGCCTTGCAACACAAGAAAACAAGCACTGTCTCTGATGTTATCTTCTGCTGGAAATTACTGGTTTCTCTGATCATTCCTAATGGAGCATGAAATTATCATGGGATTTTGATACTTTCTTCCTGTCAGCCTCAGTACCCCATACGAGGGCAGCTGTAGGTCCAGCCTTGGCCCTCTGCCACAGCACGGTTGGGCTCCTCTCACTCCAGGCCAGTTTTCAGGCAGCCACGCTCACTCACATACCGGTCAGAGCAGGCCCCGGCTTCCTGGCATCACCAGGCCCTACAAAGCAGTGCCTAGCTGCTATTTTAAGGCTCCGGTTGACTCAGCGTTGGACATTAAAGCCATCACTGATGTACCAGGCAGCTTGGCGCCACACTGCAGGGGAAGTCAAGGCCACAGAACCAGGAGCGGATGAGGCTGAAGCCTACAGTTTCACCCCTGTAGCAGGTGTCAGCCACGCAAAGCTGACAAACTGTAACATCTCAGCTGGGCAGAACACAGTGTGGAAGGCAGCCCCTGCACCCCATTACTGACTGTGCACGGACACATTCTTCTACAGCAACACGCAAGAGAAACAAAATAACAGATCAGGGAAATTGAGCAATTCCTATGCCTGCTCCGGAGTGCATACAGCTAGAGAAACGTCTTCCTTGCAGTTTAAGTCAGGCACGGCGCTCATCTTGGCAGCCCAATTTTTACCCTAGAACAGCATCATAGCATCTCTGCTTTTTTCAGAAGGACGGGGCTAAAAAGCAACCAAGGCTCTGGGCCCAGCTGTGTTTCAGGAGCAGCTCCCAAAGAAGTACGTGTTGTAAAAAGTAATGCTCAGAAACGGTGCTGCCATTTACAGGCTATGCTCAACTAGTTTAACTGATGATGGGAATACAGCAAGTGCTGCAAACGCAGACTGCAGCTCTGCTTCTGTCCTGCACTGCCCTGAAGGACAGGACATGACCTGAATTCACAAAGGAAAACTTAGGGAGCTAAGTGCAGCTCCTGAGCTGAAATCTAGCCAAAACAGCAGCACACAAGGCATCACACACATGGTGTCAGCACAATGGCAAGCCAGGCTTTTTTTTTGTTTCGTTTTAATAGAGGCATTTAATTTTATTTTTTTTTTTCCATGAATGCCAGCTTGAGGCTAATAGAGATCAAAGCACATGAGGCAGTGAGTCAGAAGGATGCTTCTGAAGTTGTCCCTGACACACACCACAGTTCTGATGTACCAGAGCCCTAACACTGTGTCAAGATAGCAGGTCTGGCACTCAGCAGCCTGCAAAGGAAGAAGGAAATGACAACTGCATTTGGTTGCCCTTAGCCCAGCCACCAGCTAAGGAACCAGGATTATTAATTGCCACCACTTTTCTCCTCCTCTTCCACCAGCAAGTAATTCAGCTGGCAAATTAAACACATTTCAGAGGAAAAAAAGGAGCCTCAGAGAAAAATCAGTTTGTGCCGATGGGGAGGCAGAGAACAGCTGAGGTGAACACAGAACAGCTGCAGGCTGAACCCAGGATACACCTGCTGACCAGTGGGATGGCACTGAAAACATAGGACAGAAAGAGGAACAGGAGGAGGGAGGCCAGGTGATGCTAATTGAAGCGTGAAAGGATATGGAACTGTAACAACCCCACAGGCATCTCCCTGCTATGCTGCTCAGCAAGCATTTCTCGGTATTTCAGTGAGGTGCATAAGCTCTTAGATGTACAGTAGCTGCAAGCAGCTTCTTATACACAGGCTGCAGTTCCCAAGGACTCAGCAGTAAAGCTGTGGGCAGCAAATACCCATTTACAGGCCTGCAGCCTGCCTTAAAAGATGCCTTATGGACAGCTCTAAGGACATATCAAGTCTGTGCCTAAAATGGCATGTTGTAGCACACACAGCACTGCAAGGCTCCCACCTATGCTGACGTGCAGGATGCCAGCAGTTACCTTGGGCAAGAGGCCCAGATCTCACTCTTCAAGGGAAAGCTCTCCCTTTCTTCCTGATCAGACAGAGATGGCCAGGGATGGATTATTTCTAGGAACACATTAAGGACGACAACTATCAGCCACGATGGAGCTCACATGAGGTATGAAAATAACTCAGACTGCCCTTCCCACTCAAAGACAAGCTCTTTGATATTCAGAAGTTTAAGCCCCATCCTGACAGCTTTCCTTCCAACAATTCACCATAGCCCACAGGCTGTGGCACCCATCAGGCCAGCTCTGTGACTGGCTCTGCCAAATCATGGGCAGCTATCATCTCCAAGCAACTCTCCACTCCCTTGTTCCCCCCGCTCTGGAAAACATTATTGACATTCTCATCAAAATCAAGTACGTGATTTCCAAGCGAATCAAAGTGCACTTAGATACAGGTAAATTAATTCCATGGATGCATTTAACATCAACTTCAGACAACCCCAAAGCACAAGTCACACCGTTCATGAAGACAGCAGCATCATACCTGATCACATCTGGTTCTGTGCCCTCGTTCTTGTAAGATGCCTGAAGTTGTTTCTGTCGTGTGAGAAGGTCATCCACCAAGTTCTGCCTCCTGTCTCCCTCCAGCTGGGTGCTAATCGACTTGGTTAAGGAGCACGTTTCAAAGCATGTAAAGTCTTAAAAGTTGAGTATAAAATCAAACCTGCTATACGTTCTTAAAATAAATCCTGATCAAGAAAATAACAAGAGCAACTGGAGCTGTAAGAAAAAGCACCTAACAGAAGGATGGGCCACGTCCCTCATGACACCTACTTTCCTTCAGAACACTTCTCCAACAATCATACATTTCCAAGACTAAGATTCACGCAGTGACTGCAGTGATCTCCTGCTCATCCTCTGAATGCAATCAGCAAAACCAAGAGGCTCTTTACTGCCAAGTTAGCATAGGCATTACAAATTCAACCTGCACCATCATTCTCCTGTCAGTTACTACTCAGAAGTGCTCTGCAGCAGATGGGCTCTGTAACACTGGCAGCACACAGCAGCGTGCTCAGGGAAAGGTTTGCCCTATCCTGTTGTGATTGAACCTGGGCAGGCTCCAAAAGAGCAGAGCTCTGAGGTTCAGCAGGGTGCAGTACATCTTATCTGCCAGGAGCTCAGACTCATGCACCACCCAGCTGAGCAGCTCCCCGCTAAGTCATCAGCAAAACACCAACAGTTTCCTTCAAGCAGTTGTTTCCATTTGCAGTTCATCAATGGGACACCCTGAGAGCCACTGGGACGGAAGGAAAACAATTTGTTCAGCAAGTCTGAAACAGAAGATGCCCAAAGCTCTGCAGTTCTGACAGGTGACACACTTGTTTTAACTCATCTCAGAGACATTCCAAAGGACTGCTACCTGTCTTCCAAGCACTGCTGCACAGATGGTGCAACAGCCATGCTGGTTTCTGTACGTTATCTGCCACAGCAGTAGCATTCATTCGCCCTGAAGCACTCCCTTGACGTGAAAGTTTTACCCAGGGCCACAACTCAGCATTCAGAGGCCTCACGCTGTGAAAGGATTTCTTCTACACTGAGCTTGAAATTAAACATCCATCCATTCAACCACCAGACACACGTCTGGGGGCATGGACGTGCTTCCAAATCCCTACACCTCACCATGCAACAAGAAGAGCGAATCCAAGCCAGGCCATGGGGCAACGCTCCTATAAAAGAAGGCTGGGATTCATAAGATATATTTTAAGGCATATTGACAATGTTTTGCAGATGCTTTGCTCTTTCTGCACGCTGGGGCTGGCACTTCCCTGCCCACAGCCCAAACATGGCTTCACCCCTCCAGGACTAAAGTCAGCCAACACCACAGCCAAGAGAAAATAACAGCAGAGGGGGTTTTCTGCTAGGTGGGTGAACGTGGCTCATGAGAGAGCTGTGCCATCAGCAGCTGCATGTGATGATTCAGAGCACCTGAGCCAGCCCTGTGCCCACTGCACCAGAGGTGCCCAGGCTCTCAATCCTTTCCACAATACAGCTGCAATAAAAATATTACCCACCATTAACTGACAAAATTCTAGTGAAAAAAAAACCTTCCCAAAATTGAACAAGAAAAAAAGAGCCTCCTTACAATTACAGCACATTTTCAGACCCTCTCCTACAACAGGGCAAGAGCAATGAGATGCTGTTGTGCAGATACATCTGGTGCGTTGACACAGCCCGGAGCAGGGAGTCCTTCAGCTGATCAATCTTCTCTTTGAGATTCTGCAGTGACGACCTGATGATCACATTGAGCTGCAGGAAAAGAAAGAGATTCTTTGTCTGAACTGTATTTGCATCACATTAAATGCTATTGCATGCAGGTAACAATGCATTTTCTTTCAGCTATACGGGTGGGAAGGATCCTATACTGAACCAGCCCACCTCAAAGCCCCAAAGAGAACACCACAGTTAATCATTTTACATGCTTACAACACGAGATAAGTACAACTAGTTTCACAAACACTGTTCTAATGCATCGATGCTGTTTAATATGGAGAGTTTTCTTTCAAGTCTTTCTAAACAGATTCCTTTATATGGGCAAAGTATTTCAGCACATTTTAATATTTTCCAGCTCATTTTCCAGTCCTTTCCTCTGATCTCCAACACAAATAAAGGCGCCAGCTCCCGCTGCCACTGGGTTTCTTTCCCAGCTCCCACGAGGGAGGGAAGCTGACTACAGGTTCAGACATTCCCTCCGCTGAGTTCTTCCAGACTTTGAGGATCCCACAGGCATTCAGCTTCCCCCAGTGCCACCTCTCAGCACCATCTGTGACACCTGCCCATCTCCCTGCCCATGGCTCGGGTGCATCTGTTCCTACTAGAAATGCAGTTAAGCTGTTTGCATTTTTCCCTGCTCTGAGCAAGCTGAGATTTCTGGGAACCCTCCTCCTTTTTCCTCCACTCCATCCCAAATTAAACCAGCATTGTCTTGGGCAATGCCTACAGAGAAAGGCACCAGCATAGCAATGGAGCAGTTCAAGCAAAAGGCCTGGACTCCATCAGAGCACTCAGTGGCTCCAGCTGGCTGGGATCTGCTCTCCACCACCTCCAAACAGAGACAAAACGCACAGCCACACTGGTGCAATTTGAGAGCGCACAACCAGACAGCTACAAAACCCACACTCAAACATAGCCAGGCACTAATGCAGCATTCCCAAAGCCACAATGGGGCATGAGAGATTTCAGGAAATTCAACGTGCAGCATGCCCTTTAGCTCTGCAGTATGGTAATGAAACATCTTTCCATCTCACATCTTCATTTCCTGCACTCATATGCAGTCGGAGAATGCTGCACTTAATGAGCACAACAAAGGAACAAAGGTATATGCGTCCAAGAATGCCATCCAGCACACAGATTGCTGCTACTCTGGCCAGAAACTACAAACAGAATCACAGAATGGCCAGGGTTGGAAGGGACCTCAAGGATCATGAAGCTCCAACCCCCCTTCTACACGCAGGGCCACCAACCTCCACATTTCACAGCAGCCCAGGCTGCCCAGGGCCCCATCCAACCTGCCAGTGAGCACCTCCAGGGATGGACGGGGCATCACAGCCTCTCTGGGCAGCCTGGTTCCTCTTCCATTAAGAGAAGGAAAAAAAAAAAAAAGAAAGAAAAATAGGAAGTTTTAAGATCAGCTCAATTGAGCAGAGGTCACAGATCGTAAGAGCTGCCTTGGAATCATTCCATGCAGGTTTCTCTTCCCCTTTTCAAATCTTATGCTCAAAGTTTACTTAGCAATTATCAACGGAGTTTTTTTTAGCCATGCTAATGGCAAAACAGGATGAAAATAAGAGCTTGGTCACGTTCTCCCTGCCAGGCAAATGCTGCACACACTTTCACGCTGCAGAAGCACTCAGCTGTCATGGAATGCAGCACTGCTCAGCCGTGAATTTCTCAACATGCATTTCTGTTATGAAAACAACTCTTCATTGTGGGACACTTGTTTGCAGTTGAACCAAACACGGTCAAATATTCACCTTTAACTGCTAATGGATTAAGTGAAACTGCAATCGGAAAACACTGGGCATGGAAGGAATGATGTTGTGAAGAAATAAGCATAATGTTTCCACAACACAGAACCCGGAGGAGCTGCGCTACCAGAAAGGCTTCAAGCAGCACCAATACAACTCGTGTGTGCTTTTTTTTGTTGTTGTTTTCCTGGAACATCGCAGACCCCAACGACTCAAACCAAAGAACTTTGTCCTCTATAAACACAGCACAATTAAGCAGCACTTACTGCCAGCCTCCTACTGCTCCAACACAGCAGTTTAAACACAGAAACGCCTTCCTTTTGAAAGCAGAGTTCAATCGCCACCATCAGGCGCTGCAGCTGGAGAAAACACCCCGATCGCTCCCAAAGCCTCTTTTCAATTCGTGCCAAATTCGAGTCCCTCGTCAGAAGCACCGATCGTTGCGCAAAGCCCACACAGCATTCCTCAAAGCAACGCTTCAATGCTTCAAAGAAAGCATTTCCAAAACGCGACTCTGTGACGACAGCTGGCAGCACGGAGGCCATCTCGCGTCCTATTAGAGCTGCGCCGTAAAGAAGGGCCCCCAGGCCGAGCGGGGCCCCGCGCCGTACCTTGGCCGAGCTCTCCCCGTTGCGCCGATGCCGGCTGCGCTCCTGGATCCGCTCGGCCACCTCCTGGGCCAGCTGGCAGGCGGCGTCGTACTGCGAGAGCCTGAGGGACGGGACGGGGAACGGCGTCAGCGCGGCGGGGCCTGGAACCGCCACCGGACAGAACGCGGAGCCTCGGCCCAAAATCCCGAGGCCGCTCCCGGCCCCCCACAGCCCAGCCCAACCCAGCCCCCGCCCCAGCCGGCCCTCACCAGGGGTCCGGAGCCATCACAGCCAACCGGAAGTGCCGCTACCGCCCGGAAGTGCCTCTACTGCCCGGAAGTGTCCGTGGTCCCTCTGTGTCACGTGACAACGGCTGCTGCCGAGGCTCAATCCCCGCAGGCGCGAGCGTCCAGTGCGAGGGGGCGGGGAGATAAAAGTGCGTGCAGGCGTACAGCGCTCTGCTGCCGAGGTGCGCGACGAAGCGGTGAGCGCTTTGTGGTGTAAGATGCGCCGTGCACAGATACAGTGGTGCACGGCACTTGGGGCGCAGTGCAGAAGTGCAAAGGTACATAAGTACACGGTGTGCGGTGCGGAGCTGCACAGCGGCCGGGTGCGATGTGGGGTACAGATGTGCAGGGCGCGCGGCACGCAGCACAGAACTGCAGAGCTGCAGGTTGCAGAACTGCGTGCTGCGTTGTGCAGTGGGATGTCTTGTAAATGCACAACGATCCATGGGGACAGAGATGCACAATATAGGGCACAGAGGTCCACAGCTGAAGGGGTGTAAGGGTGAGCAGGTGCACAGTTTAGAGGTGCTGAGTGTGTGGCACACGGTGCAGCGTGCACAAAGCAAGGCTGTGGATGTACACAGGGACGTGGTGCAGAAGTGCACAGCACGGTGCACGGTGCACAGCACAGGCCTTTTGCAGCCCTGGCAGTAATGGGGCTGAATGCCATGTGCACAGCAGTGGTACCAACCCCCATCCCCTGTCCTTGGCTGCCTCTTCCAGGGGCGACATCCCCGTGGCATGGGATCCCTGTGGCTGGATGTTGGCAGCACGTGGGCATTGCTATTGCAGTGGTGTTACTACGGCTTTAGAACAAAAGGCAACGCAGCCCCAGGGTGTCCAATGCCAGGCATGGGGACAGCAGCGAGGAACAGTCAGGGCAGAGGAGGGGTGAGGATATCCCAGTGTGTCCAGGCTGTGAGACCCCAGGCCTTGGGGCACTGCAATGGGGAGGAGTGCGCAGTGACATAGGCCTGGGGGTGAGGCCGTGTGCTTCTTCCCTATCTTCCAGTGGGCAGAGATTTGCTATCATTGAATTTTGCTCCGAAGAAATGTCCCCAGGAGCAGGCAGGGCGTGATGCTGAGAAGCCGTGATGCTACCTTGTTGACACTGTCAATATTTGGGCTGCGGATGGCTCCTGAAGGCCCTGCTCTAAAACCAATGGCTCCACAACTTACAGCAACCCTCTTCCAATGCACATGGGCACTGGGGCTCAGTGTCCCATTTGCCACCATCTTATGGTGCATATCACTGCCGATATGAGCAGGTGCCCTAAAAGTAGTGACAGCATGATAGTGATGTTTTATTGGCCTCGTTATATGGGATTATTGCTGCATTTAGCCCAGTATGACACAACTTGCATCACAACCATGGACCCAGCAGGTCCTGCTATGGGCACCCTGACCCCCCCATCCCAACCTGACACCCAGCACCAGGCTGACAGAGTCTGGGTGCAGGCAGCTGCATCAAACATTGATGCCCCAGCTGTGCAGCTCAGCCGGAGGCAGCACAGCACACTCACTACATATTTAATTTGTTTTTCCATTAAAAACTCGTGGAGCAGCAAAGCCATGTCGCGTGGTGCCCAACTCGCTCCCATCTCACATCCTGAGATTTCTGAAGGAAGAAGATTCTGTGCTTAAAAGAATCCTGCTGTTAAGTGTTGCCTGAATGATGGATCCTCTTCGCCGTGTGCTCCTTTCAGCTGCAATGGGGCTCCTCCTCAAACTCAGCTCTTATGCCCATGCCTGCAACACAGTTTGTAATCCTGCAAAGCACTTTGAGGCAGAATCAATCAGCAGCAACAGTTTCAAATGGGAGAGGATGGAAATGCTGAAGTATAGAAACACGCCTGGAATTGTGGTATTTTGAGGCCCCACAGAGCAGCTGCTGAGCTGGGAGGTCTGGCAGGGGATGCTTGAATGTGCTTTGCCATCCCTTTACCCAGGACAGTGCAGTGGTGCCCCATCCATGGAGGTTTCCCAGGCTGTGGATGGGCCCTGGACAACCTGAGCTGAAGGGAACCAGCCCACGGAGGAGGTAGGGACCGTGAGGACCCTTCCAACCCAACCATGCAGTGGAGTCTCTGGTTTTGCTTTGTCTCCAGATGCCTCCAGTGCTTTCACCCACTGATGCTCCCCAGTGCTGCATGTGGCACTGCCCAGCCAAGAGCGGCGTGCTGCCAGAAGGGCATTGTTTTGTCCTCGCAGCCCCAGCCCCTCTCAGCAGCTGGCTCCCAGCCCTCACCGTTCACGTGCTCCAATTTCTCACTCCCTGAGACCCGCACCATCCAGCAGGAAGCGGTTCCCAAACCATTTACCATGTTTATGCTTTCTCAGCTCAAGGACGGTCCTCCCTTATCCCCTCACCCTCTCCCTGCCCGGGAGTGAACGTGAAATAAAGGTTATCCTTGGGAAGAAAAACAAACCACGCAGTTCAACAGCCGTGTTGCTGTTTTGATACCTATCTCATCCCCTCCCCAGCCTCGGCGCACCGCTGGGCACAAAGGGGTGACCGAGGCGCAGAGCTGCTCCACCCCTCGTGCTATTTACACCAAACATGTGCCCCGTGTGCAGAAGGTGCATTAAAAGCGGGGCAGCAGCTGCAGCGAGGCAGCAGCACCGGGGCTGTGTGCAGCGTGTGCATGCTGCAGGTGGGGCTCAGCCTGCCCTGTGCCCCCGAAGGGGCGGCCAGAGCCTTCCCTGCACAGCTGGATGGGGACGCTGGGGACGGCGATGGCAGCAGCACTGCACAAGGTGGGTGAGCACCACACTGGGGATGGAGCCTGGGCTGCTGATATGTCCTGAGCCAGGTGCCTGCAGCCAGGTGGGCTCAGAGTGTGGTGCTACTTATGGCTTCTCTCCTACTGCAAGTACAGGGGCAATTTGGGAATCATAGCAGCACCCAGAGGTACAAATAACCCTGCTGCATCCCCATTGTTTTAGCCTGGTTTTTATGGCCGTAAGCGTGGCTGTGCTGAGTGTTCTTGTGTGACCCCCTGTGTTTTCAGCCTGGTGCTCTGCCTGAGTCCCAGCCTGGCTGCTCAGAGCAGCATGAGATGCTCTGCAGAGCTGAGCTGGCCGTGCTGGCTGGGCTGAGCCTGAGCAGGAGCCGAACTGAGCCAGCACGGTGCAAGCAGACTCGGACTTGGCCCCCTGCATGTGGCACTGTGGCTGTGCCGTGGTGTCCCTGGGTGCCCCCCCTGAGTCCAGAGCAGAGAGGTTTGTCTCTGCACAAATCCACAGGTGAGATCCGAATCTCTCCGCCCTCTCCTGGCTGAGTGAGCACATCTAACATGATATACTGGAGAATTAAGGTGTGTGCTAATTGGCTGTATCCTTCTGGCTATTAGCTGCCTGGCACAACTCCAATGGAAACAAGCGGGATGTGGGGCTGAGCCCGACCGTAACACCAAGGAAAATACCTCTGCTTTCTCCCTAGGAGGAGCTCAAACCCTGCTCACGGCGCTGTTCTGAGTGCAGCCATTCCCAGTGCCAGTGCTTTTACATACAACGGTGCCGGGCCGCCTGGCTGGGCCCACGGGGACATGGGGAACAGGGACCTGCTGGGGGCTGAGCCCCCAAGGGATGGGGGCTGTTCTGCCCTTTCCCTTAGCAGGGAGGGGTTTTGCTATAGGAGGAGGTGCTCCGGGACCTCACCGGGCTGTGCCAGGGCGGCACTTTTAGTGGGGTGCCGTGTGGGATTAAAGCTCTTTGTCCCACAGTGGTGCTCAGCTCCTCTCCCGTCACCGTCGTGGTCACACCGGAGGATGACACGTGGCACATCAGCGGCTCCTGTGCGGGCGGTGGGCCATTCGTGGACTGGGACCAGATGCCAGAGGTGGAGCAGCAGGCAGATCCCCCCGAGGACACGCTCAGCCGGCCTCCCAAGGAGCTGAAGAAGCTGGCGAGGGAGGGCTGCTGGGCTGCCAGCCGCGCGCTGAGGGCTGCAGCTTACCGGCACCTGTGCCAGCGCGTCGCCTGCCGCCTCGTCACACCCGATGCCCTGGTGTACGGGGACGTGGCTGCACGGCTCTTCGGAAAGCACGGCGCCAGCTCCCACCCGCTGCCCGACTTCCTGGCAGGCTGCTCCCTGCCCACGTACTGCCTCAACATGGACGGGGTCACGGCGCTGAAGAAGATCCTCATCTGCGTTGGCAACCTGTTCCCTGACATCACCTACAGCCCGGCGCTGCCCTCGTTGGTTGCTTTGCTGCTGCACTACAGTGAGGATGAGGCTCAGTGCTTCGAGAACATCTCCCGCCTCATCGCCAGCAATGCCCCCCACACCAGCTACATCGACCAGTCCTTCCTGGCTCATCAGGCCTCCTGCATGACGTTTGGGGACCTGGCCAACAAGCACTGCCCGGCAGCACACAAGCTGATAGCCAGCACGTCTGAGAACGTCTTTGAGGTGTACTCTGAGTGGCTGTCGTGGCTCTTCCGCGACCTCCCCTTCAGCTACGCCATCCGCGTGTTTGATGTCTTCCTGCTGGAGGGGCAGAAGGTGCTGTACCGCATCGCCCTGGCCCTGCTGAAGCAGTACCGGCTGTCGGTGAGCTCTGCCGAGCAGGAGGGGACCGACACCAAGGCAGAACTGCAGGTCTTTGTGCAGAACGTTGCCCAGCACGTCACTGTTGACAAACTCCTGGAGAGAGCGTTTGGCATCCGGCTGTTCTCCCGCAAGGAAATCTGGCTGCTGCAAATGGCCAACAGGAAGGCGCTGATGGAGAGGGGCATCACCATGGTGCAGGGCAGGTAGGAAGCCGGCCTGTTTGCCCACAGTGCCAATGATGCTCTTGGGGCAAAGTGGGTCAAAAATGGGCTCTAGTGGACATGGAGCACAGGGGAGCTCCAGCGTGTCCCTTGGCTGTGGTTATGCTGCACAGACACTGCTGGGATCGTGCACCCCTGTGGCACATAACGGCACATTATGGGTTCACCAGCTGAGCACTGACACACTCCTCTCTTTCACAGGCAGTCCTTCCACCTGGCCGTGGACATGCAGAGCTTCAGCTCCAGCATTGTATCAGCTCAGGAGATGCGCATCATCTGGTCCTGGATCCCCGAGCGCTTCTCCCTCTTCCCCCCACTGCTG